TCTGGGTCTCTCTACAGGACCTTTTTGACTTTCAGGGAGTCAATGGTTCCTCCCAGTTTAGTATCGTAGGCAAACTTCAAGTCCTGGGTCCAAAACACTTACAAAGATGTTGACCCTAAAATGGAACCCTCCGGAATCCCACTAGTGACCAGCAGACAGCCTGGTTACACCATTTACTACAACCCTTTGCACCTAACCCATGAACTAAATTGCTCACCCACCACATGACTCGTTTATCCATCTGTGTGCTGGACACTTTGTCCAGAAGGATTTTGTGAGAGACAGTATTGAAAACTTTAGTGGTATTAAAAAAGATTACATCAACTGGCTTTCCTTGGTCAGCTAGGTGGATTAGCTTCTCATAAATGGAAAACAGGTTTGTCAAGCAGTACTTACTCCTGCTTGTAGTTGTGATCCATGCATGACTGCATTGTCCTTTGGGTGTTTTTCAATACCTCTCAGAATAATCTTTTCCATAGTTTTACCAGTCACTGAAGTGAGACTGATAGGTCTGTAGTTTCCAGGGTCCTCTTTCTTACTCTTCTTGAAAATCAGGACAACATTTGCCAGCTTCAGGCAAAGGAATTCCTGTTAGGCCTTGACCTTTGTATAATGAGTTGACTGGTGAAGCAGCCCTTAACCATAGCAGGAACTCTTGCATGGCTAAGACGAGGGTGACACTGTTTGTACCAGGAACTCTTGTTGCCTGACCAAGGAGGAGAATAGGAGATATTCAGTCATTGCCTGAGAACCTCAGAATACTCCTTAAATGAATTGTAGTCTCAGTGGAAAGGTACAAATGTTACTGGACTTTTGAGAAATTCCAGTAATTACTAAATTGGATTGCAACCAGGATCGAAACAAACTGATTGATAAATAAAGCTAATCATCTTGTGACCCTATAAATATTTGTCCCAAGTATTTGTCCCTTTGAGCTCTCCTACACTGTAGCACGCATCTCCCTCTCAGAGCTCATGGACTCTCAAGTTTGTGATCATCAGAGAATCCTCCCCAGAAGCTGATGACACTGCCTGGGCTGATATCCCCCATTCTCGAGGCTCAACCCTTGCTCATTGAAAAATGCTAAGACATTTAAAGTGCCTATTTGTCCTGTTTTTGGCTGGAACAGAGTTAATTTTCTTAGTAGCTAGCACAGTGCTGTGTTTTGGATTTAGTGTGACAATAATGTTAATAACACACTCATGTTTTGGTTGTTGCTCAGTAGCCCTTATCCCAAATCAAGGACTTCTCAGTGTCTTGTGCTCTGTCAGTGAGGAGGTGCACAAGAACCTGTGAGGGAGCATAGCTGGGACAGCTGACCTCAGCTGGCCAAAGGGATGTTCCATACCATATAGTGTATAGGGGCTGATCATTGCTTTGGGACACGATGGGCATCAGTCAGCAGGGGGTGAGAAATTTGATTTTTTCTCTAATCTCAACCTACCATTTTTTCCTTTTTTTTACTGATTCTCCTCCCCATCACATGAGGGCCAGGGTGGAAAGGGAGTGAGTGAGCATATGCATGGTACTCAGTTGCTAGCTGAGAGTAAACCATAACAGTATTTCATGGAACTCAAGAAAATTTAACAGCTATACCTTTGCATATTTAGTTATATTTTTATATCTATCTGTCTCTCTAGCTAGCTAGCTAATCTTTGTGTCCATGTGCACGCATGTGTGAATTGATTTAAATATCCCACAGCAAGTATACTATGAATGTTGCCATTTCAGATCCATGATTCAAATTCAAACACTGTTGTGACTGTAGTTAATCCCATTGAATCCCTTTGTAAATGTTAAATTATTCAATGATTAAGTGTTGCTAAATCCTTTAAATATAATCCATTGTCCAAGTCTGAGACTCAAACTGGACCTAATTGCAGTTAAACTCTATCAGGAGTTTAGAAAGCACAATGTAAATGGAAGTATCATGACATATAAGTGTCACAATAGTATTTTTTTTCATAATTCAAATATATTAAGGAACAAGACTTCCTTTTTATTCATGCCTTTTTCTCTAAAAACATAATTTAAGCAGTATACTGAAATCTCTAAGTGATTTTCCACATTCAAGTTCAGGAGAGGTGTCAAGATGAAACTGTTTTTCAACAGATTCCTTTACTGCATCCAAAGAAGTTCAATAAAGCATTGCAATAATAGTTTGAGTGCCATCATTTTAGCTTTAAAGGTACGATGGGAACAATTATACACACCTGTCTTAGCAGCAGGAATAGAAAAAATAAATGTAGAAAACAACAACTCCAGAGAGCTTCATCAAAGACTTGGAGGCAGAAAACAGGCTTACAATCACTTTTATCCTAGCCTTGACAGATGACGTGGATTCCAGTCCCAGCAGTGACATTTCTTACCAGCTCAGACTGTGAAAACACGCATTGGAACTACTGTGATTCAAGTGTTCATCTATGAAATGATTATTTTCCAGAACATCTTCGTGCCTGTGCTGCTACATTGCAGATTACTCACAAATGCCCTGGCTGAATGGATGACAATGTTTACTATGCATCAAGCCTTTCAATATCCTTATTCTAAGAGAAATGTTATCTTACATATTAAAGGCTAGGCTGCAGTATTCAGATGAAACAAAATATCTTTTTGTCTGAAAGATGCTGCCAGTTCTGCACAAACACAGAGGAAACTGTCAAAACACAATCTAGGTGCTACAGTACAGCTACAAAAAACAAAAATCCTTTAAAAAGCACGGAAGACATGATTCATGAGACAGTTGAATTTTACTTACATAAGTGCAAGGTAGGGACTTGAATATGCTTTTACATTTATAAGCAACATTTAGCAAGTAGAATTAATTTTCATTGAACTAATTTCATCCTACATTATGACATCAATTATTTTACCATTTTTTAGGAAAGGATTTGGCAGATATAAGGACTTTGTCTACTTTGGGGAAATTATTCCCTCCCCATCACAGTGATCTACTTTCTTACATGAACTCACAGACCTTATATTATGGTCCATTTCAGGTACATCTCAAGTCCCAGTTCTGACAAAAAAACCCTAAATAATATACCCCTCCCTGACTAATAATAAACCCTCCTTGCTTAGTTTTAAAATGAAACCTGAGTTTGCAGAATCTGTTTTTGCAGGACTGGGTTTTAGCAGGATTCTCCCTCTACTCCTTCTTTAATTGAATATATTTATAATTTCTGTCATTTCATTAGGGATTAAAATATATTTGCCAGTGAGATTCAATATTAAGCGCTTACATGATCATGCAATCTTTAATAATCTCTGCGCAATTGACATCTAATTGTTGTAGACATTTACTTCCATGAATTGTTAAATATTCCTTTTGTTAAAGGGCTTGCAGTACAGGGCAGTAATTTCCAGCCCACGCTTCCCATGTACCCTCACTTCAGGATCCATATGCTGTCACTGGAGAGAAGATGATTCCTAACCAAGGTGTTTCTGTATAACTGTGCAGTCAGTGTTTACTGCTGCTGTTCACACATACAGCCTGTACAGGCTCCTCACTTATGACAACGCAAAAAAACCCAAATGCCCATAATGTGCCCATTCTGCTTGACCTGTACATAATTGTAGATAACTGTAAAAAAATAATGATGAATTATATTACATACATATTTGGATATGTATCATTTTCCTACTAAATAAATTCTGCTGGTTGCAACTGCTGTGTCATGTTGGAAATGAAAAACAGAACAACCAGGGAACAACATCTTTGGCCTTTAGACGATCCCTTCAGCCTGTGTGGGGTACTAGTGAAGCACTCATAATATTTGACATATTCTGGACAAGAATGAAATGTTTTGAGTGCCCTTTGAGCCGTGGGGCACATGATTCTCTCAGACCTGAAGGGGAAGTTTATTTTATGGAAAACATATCATTCTCTCCTCTGATTTCATCAGATATTCAAGTCCCAGCTGCCTTTGGCACTTTCAGCATTATCGCATGCAACTTTTTCATGTATTTATTTATGGGGTTCCCTGTCAGGCCTATAGTGCACGCTGCTGCTCACTCTCGTTGCCTGGTAGTGAAGACAGCCTAGCTCTTCATTTGGAAGCCTTTCCAAAGGACAGTCTGGAGAAACTCTGTGGTGGTCAGGGACAGTGTTGGCACAGGAGCACAGTTGTCAGGCGCATTGAGTCTGGGTTAAAGAGGCTGGTTTGTAGGCTTTCCATCACAGTCACCTCCTGATGTTTCTTGTCTTTTGTGCATCTTTTGGGATTTCCCATGGATAAGTCGTGTTCAAGATAAGACACTGTGTTTTTTCTCCTGTGTTACTCTTGTGAAGAAGAGCTTTAAGACTGCCAACACGCAGAGGTTGGGGGAGGAAAGGGGAATTCTTCTCTTCTGCATGACAGGACAGTATGTATGCTGGATCCCAGCATAACAAGATGAAACACACCTCTGAGAAGGCTTCTTCACAGAGTTGTGCGAGACAGACACCAAAACACCCTCAGGCGCCAAAACTGTATTTATGTTGAACACAAAACATAAATGGGCATTTGTGTCTTGGTGAAGGATGTGGTTAGATTTTGGAGAGCTTGGCACTATTATAGGGTCACTACATATTACACATAACTATTACTATGTGGCCACTATCAGGGTACTACAAATTACTATTACTATTACTATAGTACTTTGATATTATACAGCTTTTAATTCTTATTCGTTTAGCTTTAATTACATGAATCTTTGGCACACTTGTAAAATACACAAACTAATCCATCCCAGCGCTCCCTTCAGCAAAGAGCAGCTATGACCTCTGGCTCAGTCTTTGGAGCAAGCCTCACGAACACAAAACTTCGGCGTTCGGTTTAAATTAACCCCGGAACGTGCCGAACACCAAGGCACGAGTTCCCCAACCCCGCCTACACTCCCCCCCTCACCGGCCCGCCCCTCAGCCTTTCACGCATGCGCGCGGCCCGCGCCGCCCGCGCGGAAGTGTCGGGCGGCGGGGGCGGGGCTGCGGTCCGCGTGGCGCGGGTGCTGGTGCCGGGATGGAGGCGCAGCTGGAGGTGCTGGAGAAGCTGGAGAGCCTGGCGTTCGAGCCCGGCACCGCCAGCACCGCGCCGGGCGAGGAGTGGCCGGAGAGCACGGAGGAGCCGCCGACCCGTCCGGAGGGCGGCGGGGAAGCCCAGGCCCCGCTGCCCCCGGCCGCGGGAGCACCCTGCTCGCCGCCACTGAGCGCGCCGGGCGGGGAGCGGCCGGAGAGCGCGGAGAGCACGGAGGAGCCACCGGCCCGTCTGGAGGGCGGCGGGGAAGCCCAGGCCCCGCTGCCCCCGGCCGCGGGAGCGCCCTGCTCGCCGCCGCCCGCTCAGCTCGGCACGCCCGCTGCCGCTGGGCCCTCGTCGGACTCGGACCCAGACTCGGACTCGGACAGGTGGGTTCAGCCATGGGGTTCCCCGCGGGTCACTCCTTGCTCGTTTAGGCCGCTGGAGCTGTGTCTGAGCGCTCCAGAGCGCAGTGTCCCAGCCCTCCCCCCGCCCCCATGTTTCAGCCTCTGTAGCTCTGCCTTTCCCATGAAAGATGACATTTCCAGTTATATTTCGTTGGGAGACGTACTGTTGTATCAGGACTCCAGAAGAGTTCCCGTAAGGGTGTTGGATTTAACGGAAACACGAGTTTAGGTGGCGGCCTGTGGAGCGCCTTGGCCCACCCGTGTCCATGTGAGTGCCTGGCTGGACGTGCTCCTGGCGGAGCGCTCCTGCGGCACCGGGGGCAGCCCCTGCGGTGCTCCTGCTGAAAGAGCCTGAATGCAGGATTTCAGGTGAGGAGTCTGCGGACCGTAGCTCATGCTCTGATGTTGGCATCTCATTGCGAAAACTGATTCTCAACCTGTATGTTTTGGCTTTTTTTTTTTATAAAACTTTCCATCTTCTACTTGCGTCAGTGCTTCCATGTTCGGTGCAGCTGGTGAGAGGTACCTTTGGTTAGGTGTGGGCTCTTTTGCAGTGTTAGAAGCTTGCACACTTTGACAGTTTCAGTGAGTTTTGTTTTCTTCTTGGGCCAGTGCAGCAAGATATGTATGTGCTCCTTTTAACTAGTAGAACCTGAAGTAAACTCTTAAGAATCTCCTCTTAAAGATACAAAGCTTCATTAACAGGTAATTGGTTAAAGTTTGACTTTGGTTGGTTCAGAGTTTTACCTGAATGCAGTGAAGTGATGCGGAGTGAAATTCCTGACTTCCAGGGGGTTCACTTATATGTAGCGTTTTTTACTTCCAAAACCTGCTGCGCTGATGAACGTTAAAGATGCAGTTTTGATAGCTTTAACTTACTTAGCTGTCTGCACGTATGTAGCATGTTTTTTCAGTCACCAAGATCAGTTGCTCCACGTTTGTTTCTTCTACCGGCTCTTGAAGAACTTAGACATTTGCTAAAGGGAACATGTTGACATGCATAGGGACTATTTTCTTATGCTCTTTATGTGAAATATGAGGAGTCTAAGATAATAAGCATCTCTTACATATGCATCAGCGTGAAATACTGAATTACTAATCTGTGTTAATATGTACTAGGAGATTTGGACAGGCCATGAATTATGAAACTAATCCCTGTTATATGCAAAAATTAGATTTTTTTTTTCCCCCTTCATTCTGCAGGATGCATTGCTTACAATAAGTATTTTCTTGACTTTCATTTAGCATTATTCTGACGTTGGGATTATACAAGAGCGGTGACTTTAAAAAGTCAGTCTTCTAACTCCCACCTTTGTTTTATTCAGTGATACGGATTCAGATAGTTCATCAGCTACATCCTCTTCTGTATCTTCACTATCATCTAATGAAGACGATAATTTAGATGAGAAGAATGACAGATCTTACTGCATTAAAACAAAAGATGAGTTACCTATTGAGGTAAGTACAATGTGATAGTCTTCTAAACCTTCTACTAACCCAACCTAAAGTATCTATTTTCAAGTCACTCCTACTATGTCAAGATGGGGAATAGAATCAAAAGAGAAAAAAAAAACCTCCTAGGCTGAACTAGAGACAGTTTAATATGTAAAGAAAAAGGCCAAACACACAAACAAAGCAAAACAAGAAATTAATTGACTTCCCATGGACAGGCAGGTGTTCAGCCATGCCCAGGAAAACTGGACTCCATCACGTGCAGCAGTTACTTGGGTATACAAATGCAATCACTCCGAATGTCCTCCTCTTCCTCCTTCTTCCCCCAGCTTTTTATGCTGAGCATGATGCCATATGGTATAGAATATCCCTTTGATCACTGCAGGTCAGCTGTCCTGGCTGTGTTCCCTCCCGTCTCTTTTACACTCTCACCTCCTCACTGATGGGGTGGTATGAGAAGCAGAAAAGACCTTTATGCTGTGTGAGCACTGCTCAGCAATAACGTTTCTGTATTGTCAGCACTGTTTCCAGCACAAATCCAGAACACAGCCCCATACCAGCTACTGTGCAGAAAAATTACTTTACCCCAGCTAAACCCACCACAGTTGATAACTGAAAATGTCTTATTTTTTGGGTGCATATATTAAGGAGTGTTGGTGGAACTATTTCAGAAACCTCTTGCTTTGAAGTGCAGGATTGGTAGAATGTACATTTTGAGATTTAGGATCAAAATTATAACTTTGTTTCTGCTGGTCTTTGGCCTTTGAATTGCTCTCACAAAAGTGACTCATTTAAGTCTTAGCAGTGAAATAGATGTAATGTTGGAAAACTCAATGGCATGTAGAATGTTGTGGTTTCTATATGAATACATGTCTCGAGTTATATCATTAAACTGGGAAAATCTTGGCCTTTTTTGAGTTGCTCTATATGCCTTTGCCAAGCACTTTTGTTAGAGTGAAGATTATCAGATGAAGTTTTGGGGAAACAGTATAAGTTTCTTCTCTCTGAGTGGGATTCTGTTTCTGGTAGTGGCCTTTGAAAGTGCAGTTTAGTGCTAAGATTTGGACTCTACCTCTGAATTCAACAGATGCTGAATTTGAAAATAATGCTTACTCCCGTTGCTTTGTATTCCATATAGTTCATATTGAATTCACATCAGTATAGTATAGACATACACGTTAGTTTATGAGTAAGTTGGGGGTAGATGATGAGTTCAGTGTTAATCAGCCTCTGATAGTAGATTTTGATCCTTACACTTGAGGAAAAAGTTTGAGTATTGTGTCGTACTAATTTTTGTATCTGAAGTTAGATGTTTTTTGTTGGTGTGGTTTTGTTGTTGTTGTTTTTCTGAAAGTGTTCTCTGATTATCCTCTTGTACCAAATGCTACTTTTAGCTAAAATTAATTTTCTTTGTGAAATAGTTTGTTTTGATCTTTACATCTTCTATACTGATCCTAGTCATGATATGATTGGACAGATAACATTTTGCCAAATCAGATGATACACATCTGTTGTATTTCATGCTATATTGTCTCTTGCTGTGTACATTTTTCTTCTACCACGTGTTGAATGTAATTGCAAGTTGTCTTATTTTTTGATTACTGATTGTTTAATTATTGTGTTGGACATTGAGCTAAAGTTATCTGACTTGAAAGTTCAAAAAATTGAATAAAATGCCTGTCAGTTGTTGGCTTTCTTGGGTTAAATAAAATTGGCTTCTACTTCAGTTGCGATGGAAATGTGGAGAGAAGTGTCTCTTTAGGAAAAGCGTCCTCAAAAGTGGTATTGCCCCAAGAGGAGTTAATTTGGAATGATTGAGGGAGGCAAATCAAACTAGATTTTTTTAAAATAAAATCTTCAGAATGTTAGATTTTTCACAATTGTCAAATTGCTGCAGTGATGAAGTGATGAATGTCTTGGTACATTGTTATATTCTGAACTCTGACTTGATGTTTTCAGGAACTACCTCCTGTTGAAGACTTATCAATAATTCTGCCGGATAACATTGAACTGAAGCTCTTTGGGACAGTGTCCAGCATTATTGAGCAGCTAGGTAGGAAAAATGTATTTACTTTTTTTTTAATTAATATTTTTTCTTTAGAAAGCCTTTTTTCCACAGTGTATTTAATGATTTTTATATTGATTCTGGCAACAATTACTGTATTTTAAGAAAATCTTCCAGTAGCATGGGCTATATTTGAATTATCTCTTACAGATAATTCAACTTACAGAGTTGCGTAACTGAAAGCACAGATGCACTACAATGCAGTCCCAAGTGCTTGCTTGTTAATACACAAGGACAGGAAAAGGACTTGTTTCTTTAGGGGTGCAGATTCTTTTTATTTATTTTTATCTTTATTCATCCTGCTTCTGGTGCCTTGACTGAATGAAAGCTGGCCACGTCAGCAGTCACAGAATAGTATGACTAACATGATTTATAGGTGCTGAAGGGTAAACTTAAAGGGATTGAGATACACAGTAAATGTAAGCTTAACTGCAGGCAATAGACATTCAGGGATGTTTTCAGATCTGCATGGAGCCTCAGTATTTGGTATAAAAAATCAAAGTTTTGCTGAAGCTGGTATTATTAAAACAGCCATAGTATGCTCGTATTTAAGCTATTTCAGGTGTTCTATTCCACTTGAACTGCTTTCAAAGCAATTTACTTATGAAAATTAGAAATTGAGTTCAATTTTTAAGTTAAAGTACTTGTGTTAAATGGAGTACAATGGAAAGAAAATAGCCTTTGCTATTAATTTTTTCTCTATCGTAAAAGACTTCAGGTAATACAGGCAATTCCTTTACAATATTTTTATTAGCGGTGTTAGTTTAGAGTAAGATTTAATTTCATTCATTTGCAGGAAGCTGCTTTGAGGGGATGGAAGGTAGTAATAATTTTTTTTGTTCTACTCTGCCCTTTCTTGCCTATTGACAATAATTGGGACTTCAAGAAGGCTATCTTCAGCTAAAATGGTAGTTTGAAAACAAGTTTAAGAAAAAAAGTTGAATCACAGTTGCTATTATTCTTATTTTTGGTCTAATATGTGAAGGTATAAACAATCCTGTTTTAAAGACTTCAGTTTTGAAAATTTTCCTTAATTTTAATCCTCGTTGGTGAGTATAATCTTTTAAAATCCAGTCAGTTTAGTGGTAAGTGAATTCTTCAGTCTGCATCCTACTTCATGTAATGAAAACATATGAAGTGTTGAATTTAAATTTGTTAGTGAAACTTAAAAAACAAGCTAGTAATCATAATGAATTAAAGCAGTAAGAATGCCATAAACCTCCAGGGTATCTGTGATTATTTCTCTGCTTTTACTACCTTGCTTTATGACTTCTCTTTCTACATATTTTTGCTTCTTTTCAGTTCTTTTGGAAACAGATGTCTGAGTGGCCTCAATTTCAATTGATTTGTGGCCATATTAGGGACTCTGCTAGCTAATTGGGAGTTGTTTTTTGATTTTTTTAAACTAAATTGATACCTCTGTATACCAGGTTTATATCTAGGGTGAGGGAAGTTGCGGTCTCATTTGGAAACAAATATTATTCTGGTGCAACAATCAATATTCTGAGCTTTTTCTTTCCCTTTGATGTATCTCAGAAATCTCTGCTGTTCTCCTTAGCAAGTTTCCAGGTTCATCAGTCTGCAGTGAGTGGTACTTTTAAGTTCGGTATTTCATACTGTGAGGTAAATTTGAGGCTAGAACAGTATAGGTTCATGCTTTCTCTGCTCTAGCTAAAAGCAAGATGAGAGTACTTTCTCTGAACTTCTGCTCAGTGTATCAAAATTTACCAAAACTTTTTCTATGTTTTGCTTCAACGTACTTAAGAGAAGAGAAACATTCACGTGTGGGTTGTAGCCTAGAAAGTAAACAGCTTTGGTGTATATGAGAAACGTGCTCTGGGGCTGCACTTTGGGCCCTGCAAGAGTAGAAGCTGAGGATTTAGGGTGGGGAAACTCTTAAGTAGGATAGGCTGTAGGTGATTATGCTTCTAGATTTCGTGGGACTGGTATGACTTAGATTTTCAGAATATTTTCTGTAGCCTACTGAAGACTGGGGGGCTATGTCAGATGAATCAACTTGACAACATTCCCAGAGTTTTTGGTATGTGGTTTTTTTGTTTTGTTTTGAGGGAGGGTTTTTTGTGTGTATGTTGTGGGGGTTATTATGTGGTTTTGTTTTTTTTTTGACTAAGATGTATTTCTCATGAGGTTTAAACAACACATTGGATTCTTTCACTGTATATTTTATCTTAAGAGGTAGACACAAAAGAAATTGATTCACCAAATTCCCTTGAAATTTCGTGAGCTATTAAGCCTTAGCATTGTCACATAGTAGTTCATGATGTTAAAAAGGTTTTTACAAATTGCAGTTATAGCAGAGCTTGACTTCTAGCTTGATGATGTTTAAGTCCTGTTGTGTAAGTTTAGCAGTGATGATCTTGTTAGTTTTTGATAGTCTGTGCGTGGCACTAAATGTTTGAGTGACCTTATTTGCTGATTGAGAGGCATTGAGAAGGCTTATTTGAGCATTCTGTTGTTTTAGAAGTAGAGAAGTTTACCTTCAGAATCAGAATTTTTGAGTGTAATGCTGCTAGGCCATTACATTGACAACTGTAAGCATGGGTAGTTCCTACTGAATGTAAAGAAGACCCGATATTTCTGTAGACTAAAGCAACAAATGCAGACTACTACCAAAGAAGAGTGATCTCCTATAAAGATTTCACTAAAAAATAGGAATTATATCTAGGAATCTGGAAAACCTAAAGAGCCTGTATGTCAGATCATGTATTTAATGAAGGAAGAACATGCCTCTGTGTCCGTTTGTAAGTGTTTAGGTCCACTAAGTGTTAAGATTTCGTATTTTGAGCTAGTAGAATGAGGTGCTTGCTCTGACCATTCGTACCATCATTAGTCATCGATTAGTAGTATGAAACTTATATGATGTTAAATTGCAGAAATGTATTTCACGTTGTCTATGTGCATACGTAAACAACACCATCAGTTGCTGTTGTGACTGAACTGTGACAGACAGCTTTTGTGTTCTGGTTCTGATTCTTGAGGTTTACTAGGGAAAGCTGTAGTGAATGGCAGTCTCCATTCTTTTTTCTGAGGAGAGTTTGGTTTGGAATACTAAGGCATAATATATACCTGCATCTGCACTCAAAAAACTTCCATATTATTTCTGCTATGCATTTAATTCTGAAACATCCTGGATAAATTCAACAGGTATCTCGCACATACATATCTGAGTATTCTCTTTTGTACCTGTCATCTGGTCTCTTTTACTTCTTTACACCAGAGAACAGTAATTCTGTAAACGTTGTAAATCTTGCCATTCATATATCATTGGAGAAGAGATGTACAATTTTAGTAGTTTCATGTGTGTGCAAGAATTTTTGGTTGCGGCGCTATGAACTTTAGTAGACAAATAATGGTGTGGTTTGTTTTTTGTACAATTAACTACATGCTATTGAAACATAAAGTTCTAATTGATCTTTTTCTTTCCATTTTAGTAATAATTGAATCACTGAGAGGCCTTCCTCCAGTAAATGAGGAGAGCATAATTTTTAAAGAAGATCGACAACCAGCAGGAAAGGTGTGTGTAAAGTAAATGCCTGTTATTCTAATATAAAATTGAAAGTATTCTTTAATGCTCCAAAAAGTAGAGTTAACTCGATTAAATGAAAGATAATATTTCCTCGATATATAGTTTTTCTTTGTGCTTTTGACTCTTGCTACTTTTTTAATCTCAAGAATTCCTAACCTGGAATTCATTGCATCCTTGCAGAATTACAATGTCTGGTGAGTTCCAGGTATTTTCTGAGGGTGCTTGTGGAGAGGTAGAGGTTGCTTTCAGATGTATGATGTCTTGGAATAATAGGCTGTACTCTCTTACTGCCAGATAGGGGCAAAGGTGAGAGTGAAGTGTCATGAAAAATGGGGAATGTTTACAGTTCTGTGCTCTGCTGTTCTGGTTGATGGCCAGTGAAGAATGTTTACTGAGAGAGGTGTTGCGTTGAAAATTCTGTCTTTTCTGTGGAAGGAAAGCCATCATCTACAATGGTTGCTACTGTAATATCCTTGAATGCTAGATGTGAATGAAGCAAACTCAGCCTGAATTGCGGACGTTCTGTACAACAGGGCAGAATTCTATGCTCTCCCCAGAACTGGGGAACAAGCAGTAACTGACACAAAGGCATCTTGAAAAGGTGACCTTGGAGGAAAAAATGATCAGGAGATCATTCCAGGTGTAAGAGATTTGAAAGCAAAATGGACACAAAAGAATAGAGATTTGACAAAAGGAAGGATTACTAAGGATGTGAGAACTTACTTTTCCACATGATAACAAATGTGAAAATTAGCTGGGGAAATACACTGTCAAACAAAATTTTGGTAATAAAACTAAAGCATGAAAGGAACTTTATTTGATGCCGCATTTTGAAAATATATTAAACTTCTTAAAAACTATTGTCTACAATGAAATGAGCTATCTGTTGATGTTGGTTAGTTTAAACTTTCTGATTTTGTTTCTTTCAGATATTTGAGATATTTGGTCCTGTCTTACATCCTTTTTATGTGTTAAGATTTAACAACTCTGAGCATATCAAAGAAAAAGGTATTAATGTGCAAGATAGCATGTATTTTGCTCCATCAGTGGAGGACTTCACCCAGTATGTATTTACAGAGAAACTAAAAATGTGAGTCTGATTTCTTTTCTAGTCTGATTATCAGGTAGCTAAAAATATTGGGTTAAACTTTGGTCTTGGGTGAGATTGATACTAAACTGTTTATTTCCTTTAGATATTCTCAACCGTGTTGTAATTACAAGATTGTACTGTTTTGCCTTTCAGAACAGTAGACAGTAGCTGTAAACTGCAAGCTTTCAAAGTGCTATAATTACTAAAGTTCAGCTTCTGATTCAATTTAATATATTAAGCTTCCTTCTTTTTTATGCTGCTGTGTCAGATAAAATAGCACAACCAGGACAGATTTGAGTGGCAATGTAGTGTGCTGTTCAAAACTTCTCAGTAGTGCTTGCGTATCCCAGCTTGTGTGATGAAAGCAGCATGTATGAATAGGACTTGATGCCATTTAAAGGGATGTGTACTCAAAGACACAGACAAAGAAATTAGGCATAATAAGTGACAGCTAGATATTGATGTCCTAGTTATTGATTAGTAATTTTCTGAAATAACTATAGGTTAAAATCCTTTGTCATAAAAGTGGCTTAGTTTCTGTTTGTTAGGATTCTCAGTTTCTCATCTGACTTGAGTTGGTTAGTTATCTGCATTCATTACAATTCTGCCCATATTTGTACTGAATGATTTTTTCCCTAGTCAAGCATGCAGGAGTCTTTTTTTTTTTTTTTTTTTAAATTTCTCATTTCTCTGTGAGCAACAAGCATATTTTTTTCCTTTCAGTGAAGACTAAAATAGATCACTTTCTTGCTCTGATGCTTGTTTGTTTTTCGGCAGCATTTTGATGCCAGCTGGTCTTTGATTTGCACTATTAAACTTTGTTGCTTAGCACAGTAACTGCACAGGCTTTAATCATCTGCTTGTTGCATCCAAGTGAGTGTACTGCACTCAGCATCTGAGATGGAAGACTCATATTTTCATCTGCTGCGTGCTTTGGAAATAGTTTTGGAGACCGTTTGTCTTTTGGTAGTACTTCATTGTCATACATGATAAAAAATTGAACACTAGGCAGGATATTTCACCCTTTGTGGCTTACCAGCACAACCGAGCAGTGCATCAGACATTGCTTCTTGCCTCGATTAAAATGAGCAGTGTGAACACCTGTATAGTCGGACAAGACCCATAATTTCTGAACCGTGTCACTAAAGTTACATTTCACTGAAACTATTTTATTTCTGGGCTTCATCACTATAATTTCTTAAGCTCTTGTGAGGCTTTTGGTACTATTTGTTGAACATGCCTTTTCTCAAAGTAGGTATTTATTAAAAATGGATAAAAATTTTCTGATGTCTGACCTGTGCTGTAATGTCTGTATGAAGAAACCAAGATGGCATGGATAGTAGAAAAGCTGAGCTTTGGTCAGTGCTTCACAAGAAGGCTTTTAGACCTTAGCAGATTGTAAATTTGATTACCAATAATTTTTGTTTTCTGCTTTTTGTCAGTTTGTCGCTGTGCACACCAGATTGTAGATTATTAAAGGCTTAAAGTTTTAAAACTGCTGCTGAAAACTGTGATAGTACTTTGAAAATGAAAGGAATCAAGATAAAGATATGAAAGAAACATTAAGTTTGAAGCTTTTTCTGAAATCTAAAATGCAATCTCCTTGCATTGTGCAAAGTTGAAGTGCTATGAAAATAAGCCTTACGCTTTATAGAAGAATGAAGTGTAGCGTAAAACTTATTGAATGCAAAACAATTTGTTGCTAAAAATAGATAAGCTCCTGTTCATGATTCTTCTGAGTCACCTTTTGTTAAACTTCCAGATCTTACTTCAGAAATACCTGACTTGGGAAGTCAAATATATATATTGTTCTTTAAAGAAGATTACTAAGTTCTTTGTAGCATGAAAAGTGGTTTGTGTTTTGCTGAAATGGGCAAGGCTGCCTTGGGAGAGTGAGATAAGCTGTGTGAAATTAAAAGGTTTAAATTTTTCAGTCAGTCATTGCAGTGAACTGCCTCAATTCGGATTCAAAACAGTTTAGGTTCAAAAGGTTGTGTTAACGGTATATTGATCAAAGCTTAATATTGGCTGTGTGAAATACTTAGTCATCACTCAAAGCAGGAAGATTTTTCAAGTGAAGTCCTAAGTTGACAAGTACATTACTGTTGATTTAGATATAATGCTAAGAAACAAATACCTCTCTGAAAACAGATACCTCTTGGTGTATGAGATCTGATACCTTGAAAGTACTACTCTTCCTTCATGTGGATTGTCTAATTCGTGTTTTGGGTTGTTCATTTGTTTATATTTTTTTTTTTTTTTTTTTTTTTTAGGGAAAAAGGTTCAGATGCATCTTGGAAGCATGACCAAGAACCACCACCTGAAGTAACTATAGTGGTTTTTTTTCGTTTTTTTGTTTTTGATTACACCAGCTATATGTAAAAAAAAAAAATAAATGTGCAGAGTAATTAATTAGCAGGCTTATTTTTTATGCAGATGTACCTTTTTATTGAAAGAAAAGTTCATGCAGGCAAACTTCCTTGCTTTTTATGACATCTTTGTTTTTGTGGCTGTTCTGATTTTCTGATCTGTCTGTGTGCTCTGTTTTGGAAAAAAATCCACATCTAACATCTTGTAATCCCCAATTAGAATAATCTTTGGTTAGTTCTAGCAGTCAGAGTGTATACCAGGCTCTCCAAACTGTGACAGCTGATGAGCTGATGGAAAGGAGCTTTTGCTGTGAAGGTAATAGCTGTTGATAAGGGTGCAGATTAAATTTTACACTACTGATGCTTGAAATTGTCTCTTACAACCAGACTCTTTTAGACATCTCAGCTTGCAGCTGAATTTATAACTTTTCTGGCTAGCCCCTATGGTAAACTGTGTGCAATTGCTGGAGTCAAGTTTTCTTTGTGATACTGTGAGGCTTTATTTTTGTATGAATGTTAAATTAACTCACGTTAGGCATTTTTCACTTGCTGCTTTATATGGTAAGCATTCCTTTTCTGACAGGCTCTTAATTAGCCCAGCTTAACTGTAAACTCATTAGTACAGTCTCTCCCAGCCTTGTTTTTGGGGTCATAGGATGACAAAAGTGTGATCTATATGCTGCAAGGCTGGCAGGAGCAGACAGCTGCAATTTTTCTGTGACACAGCTTTTATGGAATGTTACATGGAAATTAGGTAGCAATAAATGGTACCTATTGCTGTTCATTATTTCTGCTTTACGGCAGTATGTTGTATTGAAGTCCTTAGAAAAAGCAGGAGTTAGTGAAGGATTTTACGTCATGATATGTATCATCTTGCTGTATTCCTTGTGGCTTTTTTTGAGTAAGTATGTCATGCAGTTATGTAGAATAGGCAGTAGTTGCATTCAGAATTAACTTTTATGTGGCTTTTTTTTAGTAGTGTTCTACTTCAATGTTTTTGAAACACATACTCTGTGTATACTGGAAGCAGCAAACTCCCTACTTACAGAATTGGGAAGGGTGGGAACCAATCCTTTGCCCCTTTTAAGCCGTATGAACCAGCTGTATTTCAGTAATTAATTCTGACAGATTTCTTCCCTGTCACTAATAACTTTTCCTCATTCTAATGTAAGCTAGGATTTAAAAGGTAGCAAAACCTTGTATAACAAGAAGAAAATGCAGTGACATTGAATCTATCGTAAACGGCAACATTCCTCAAAGCTGAAAATTCCTTTGGAAGAACATTGCTATTGCAGGTTTAACAGGAATGTTGTTATTAAATATACTACAGAAAATTCCAGTTTAGTGACAATTTTAGACTAGACTTTTTTTTTTTTTGATGTTTCACTGTGCTATGTATCAGTTGCAAAGGTTATTTTTACCTATTTTAAAAATTCATATTTCAGTTTATCTAGGCTGCAGTTTGCCTTTCAAAAGCTTTTCTTGGCAGTAACTAGCCAGCTCCTTCAGAGATTCGCAGTTCCTTTCTAATTAACATCTAGGCAATCAAAATTTTTTTGTTCAGTACCTGAATATTGCTCTTTTCAGGAAAACTAGACAGAATAGCTGAATCTTGTATTAATTGTCTTACAGGAAATTTCTTGTGCTAAGAAGCCAGCTGACTTCTTTTTTTTTTTGAACAGGTCTTGGATTTCAGTGATGATGAAAAAGAAAGAGAGGCAAAACAGAAGAAAAACAAACCTGAAAGTGAAGGAAGGAAAAAGCTCAGACCAGAAACAATTCCACCAAGTGAGTAAATGTTATGGGATAATGCATTTTGCCAGTTTTCCAAACTGAGTTTGGAATGCACATCTACATTTATCTTAATGAATGATTGAGAACAGTTGTCATAAGAGAGTCAAGGACCCCTTAGAACAGTATTAGACACACAGTGAGGATACAGAACAGGTGCTATTTGGAGTTTAGAGCTTGCTTATTACAGGGGTTGTTTGGGCCCAAGTTCACCTTAAGCCTTTGAGTGTGGGGGGAATACAGAGGAAGGCCATGTGCAAATTTTTGAAACTCACTCCTTTGGCAGTCAGGGAGGAGACCCTGGGGAATTTATTCCTCTGTCTGAAAAGGAAGCTCTTCCTCACCTATGGCATATACTCCTCTAAAAAAACTTACTAGTGTAGCTTGCTGAGAACCTCTCTGTTCACTTCCTGCAGTCATTAGATAAACAAACCTATGTATAGTTTTTCATATTGTGAATGGCCTTCTGCACCTTCCTTTCTCCTGCTGTTGTACCTGTTCCAGGTGTGTGCTTACATCTGTGCTCTCTTTGCAGTAACCAAATTTTCTTTACTTGTCCCTCATGCCTACTTACAGTTTCAAGTCCTAATGCCCCATGAAAATTAGTAGGAATTTTGGTATCCAGCTACATTTCAAGACTTAGCTTTTCGAAGATGAAAATGTTTCTATGTAGTCTTGTACCAAGGATTATGTTCACACAAGTGTTTAAATTTCAGTGATTTTATGTGGTGGTATGTCCCTGAATACCTTGTTGCTTCCAGCCCTAAAATCCTTTTGAGTTCATGTTTCAGTTCCAATTCTACAACTTTTTTAATATCTTTGAATGTTCTTTTTGAAACATATGCAATATTTTGGTGCTCTTCATTTATAGCCCTTTTCCCATTAAAGCTCGTCTTATATTTATATGAAGAGGCAGTACATTTGTTACGGACCTTAAATATATGCTTACAATGACCTGTAAAGGGAAAAATTCATCTTAACAAGATGAATACTGAAAGCTAATTAGCTGAAGGTATGAGCTGCCCTTTCGCTGGTAGAGTAAATTAATTTTATTAATTTGAGCTTGAATAATTTCAAGCCATTTGTGTCCTGTGCCTGTGGTGTAATACCAACTCAAGACTGAAAGCTGTATACTCCCTCAGGGTAATACAGTGTTGAGTTATCTTTAGCTTTAAAATGTGTTGCTTTTAAATCTTGTTTTAAATAAAAACTTCCAAAATACTCAAAATGTGAGTGTTCCTATGATTCATTTATACAAATGAAAAACCTGGAGGGAAAGAAAGTGAAATTTCTTTTTTAATGATTGAATTTGCAGCCCTCAGGATCATCCTTTTTGTATTCTCTCATCAATCAAAATTAGTTACTAAACAGTAGACTTGACAGTATTATTTTGTTGTTTATATATTAGTAGCAAACATTTTTTGTTGATAAGAATAATTTGCTTGACTTCAGTTTGTATGATTTATGAGGACTAAACTTGATCTTTCCAAAATAATACTACAACTGTGTGTGTTTGTGGGGTTTTTTGTTTGTTTATTTTTTAGGTGAGAATAAAGGATTTCATCACTCAATGCAGCAGCCTGCTTCACGTTATTCAAGGGGATACCGTGGCAGAGGGTTTCCCAGGCATTCATTTCCTCCTCCATCAGGCCCTCGAGGGTTTTGGAGACCACAAGTAAGACCACCCCAGCCGTACTGTTCAGACAGGAGGATACACCATCAATCGCCAGTGTTTCCACAACCTTATAGAAAACAGTATCCAATGATGCCACAGTATCCCTGTCCTCCTCCAGCTTTTGGTTCTGTCAATAACATGCATCAATTCCCTCCTCCACTTCCCAATATTAATTGGACAGGCCCAAACATGTACAACTTTTCATACCCATTTTTGCCACCTCCTCCTCCACCGCCGCCGCCTCCCCCTCCTCCAGAAAGCCGTCCTTCCCAGTTCAGGCCTAAGTTTCTATAATGTGCATACAGAACATTGCAGTGTACAGGGCTGCCAAGGCTGTATTCCCTTATTTTGAAGATACTTTTCCTGCAGCTATAGAACAAATGCAGAGTTTTGTACTTTGTACATTCATAGAAAATTATTTTTTCTATATGTGTTCTCTGTTTCAAAAAAGAAAGTTATAAAAATAACTGAATATTAAATAATTGTTTATTTTTATAATATATGTTCCTTTGAAATGATAAATAAAAAACTTTTTGGAGACTGGTATGTAGTGGAAATCTATTTTGTAATAAATGTAAGAGTTTATATAACTATGTGAGTAGTGATGACGATATGTCATGTAGATGGTATTTTAGTATTTTTAGAGGTTGTATATTGCTATGTTAGACCATTTTTTCTCAGTTGCTGCAAATTTTGAAACTTACTTGCGTGGGAACTAAAAATCTGACATCTAAATTTTAAGCCAGGTTTGCCACTGTTTGTTTAAGGCATAAACTGTTATCCAACTTGTAATAGTTCATTAATTTAGTATTAACTAAAAGACTGGATCTGGGTGGTCTTTTTTTAAAATAGCTGGAGTAGCCAGATCTGAAATTGGACCAGTAGCTGAATTATTATGTCAGGTTTAGTGTCCTACAGTGGTTGTAGAAGATCAACCTATTAATGAGATGTTTTGCATTATAAATTAATAGAATTTATAATGAGCATAATTTTTCTAGCTTGTCTTTGCTCCTAACGCAGAAATGCCCAAAGATACCTCCTAGAGTGTGTAGTCAGCCATCAGATCTGTCAGGCAGAGAAGGTATGTCTTTTCAGAATTCCCTTGTTTAAATTTGTGAATGCAGATGGTACAGATGCAGGTTGTTGCTTGATTGTCCGTACAGTCAGAACTGTCTCCAGGAGTTGCAAGGTTATCAGCTCTTCCAGCTTGTGTCTAGGAGGAAGGTGAAATTGTCAAGGCCCACTTGGAATAACCTTCACATGTCCAAAAGGTCAGTCCTACAGTTGCACTTTATTAGTCTCTGTGGAAGCCACTCTAGGATGGCTAGGATGGAAGATCTTACGCTGCATGAGTATTTTAAAAGGAGGAGAAAAAAAAGTAGTTGTGTGACAGATATCTTAAATATGTCTTTTCCTTTGAAAATTCATTACTGTTTGTAATCATTTTTGAATGTTTAACAATTCAGTCACTTTAAACCATTGAACAGAACTGATAGAAGTGTGCACTATGTATTTCTGTTCTCAAGCTCATTTTGGCTTCATTACTTAGAGTGTATAATTAAAGGCTAAGTAAGCTGTGCAGGTGTTGCTTAGACTTTAATTCCAAATAGCTTAAGAATGAAGCAAAATTTTAATGCACAGAGGGAGGGACTGTCTTGTCAAGATGGTGCTATTGAGAACTGGAATTTAATTTTGGACCTTTAAGTCTCCTTATCCTAGTATACCTGAGTAACAATAGTGATAAATCTAGAACTACTCTTTCAAAGGTGTGCAACTGAGAAGGTTGTATAGATCTCAGTTCATGACAAGCAGGTACTGTACAGTGGCAATAAATATTTTCAGGACAGCAGCACTCCAGGCATCGGTGTTTAACTCAGTTCCTGCAGATTATTTTTTTTGTAGTAAAAAGAATGTCCAATTCTAGTCTGTTGTAAATGTTTATGTTTTGGAGGGAAGGAGAAGGGTGAATTTCTGGCTTTATAAGGTGTGCCCAGCTATTCCCATTCCCAGTTGTAGGTTGACAGGTGTGAGTAAACTCACTGCAGCCTCGTGACTGGCTTAGCAGACTTGCTTTGTCTAAGCTTTACTTGATTCACCTGGAGCTTTCTTTTGACTTGGTTTAGCTACAGCAGCAGTTTGTTAACAACCAGGTGGCTATGATGAATTTGTTTTAAATGTATTTTTTTTTTTTCTGTAGTATACCCACAGGTTTTTGCATAGATGGTAGCAGCACATGATTACTCTGTAGAGAGAGTAGGGTATTTGTGGGTTTAATTGGATAAGATAGTTCAGAGGAAGAGAGACCTGACATAACAGAGGCTTCACTGCAAGTATCTTTGCAGGATACAGTGTAGAGGAATACCTGAGATGTCAGGACATGCAGAGTTGGCACTGGAGACCTGACTTGCAAACTCCTCCCCACTTGTTGGTTGAAGAAGGTAAAAATACATTTTGATTTTAACAGAGGAAAAGTGTAAAATGCAACATCTACAATAAAATCAGATGTAGCTGTGAACATGCAGACAGATGGAGAATAAGCAAGATGTTACAAGTGAGTTATCAGGTATAAAAGTGATCCTGAGTCAATTTTATATTACGGAGGAAAAAACTGTCAACATCATACTTGTACTTGGGATGCCAATGGCTTTCTTTGTGCCCTGGCATGAAGAGACATCATCAGCCTCAAGATCCAAAGGGGTGGTTGAAGGGTAAGTAACACCAAGAAAAAGGACTGACATATTAGGTAGTGCAGCTACAACAATCTCAATTATTACTACTATTGCAACTTTTTTTTATCTATAGTGATATTCACTTTTTTCTGCAATAATTTGATCTGGACCAAAGAATAACTTTTTGATTAAGCTGTTAAGATTTCTCTTATACTGAGGTGTGCTTGTGCTCTCCTTTCCCATAACAATAATTTGCATGTAACACAACCCAATATAAAACTGGCTTGCAGAATGTGGTTTGACAGAAATATATTGCAGTCTAAGCTATTTTATTAAATCTTGGTAGTTAACTGCAATACTGTTTCTGTACATACGTGCCTGTTTCTTAAGTTGAAGCAAATTTTACAGGTGTTCTGCATTTAGTGAGTACAAGTCACACTTGAAGAACTTTGCTTGGAATCAACTTTAGTTCTTCATTATGAAATTACTTGATAGCTAGGTATGAGTTTGAAATATTTTGAGGATCGATTTCTTTCCCCAAAATAGTGTTACACCCTATGTTCCTTAAACTGAAGAATAAACATTGAAATAGATTACTAAAGTAGTGCCATCCTAATTTCAAAATAGAGGTAATATAACTTTTTTTTTAACGAAAGATCTTGAATGTAATCATTGGTTATTAAGCATCCTTACGTAGCTGTTTGTCAGTGGTGTTGTACAGTCACTGTCAGATCCTGCTTCAGTATACAGGATGCTTGCTATTGAGAAAGCAGTATAAACTTGCAGTGGTATGGGGATATTGGGACCTGAGGTGTTGGCACCCAGTTCTTTGGGGAAGGAATGAGTATGCTTCGTAGAAAAATGGATGCAGTGGAAATACTTCTTTTGTATTTTTAATTCTTTGGTAAATGTCCTGCTGTCTGTCCTGCTGCTAAATCTGTCCGCAAAATGGTAAAGCCTTAACTATAAAACTTGGGAAAACTGGCCTGGTAATTTTAGTGGCAAGAATAGCTAGTTTTGTTTGGCCTCAAGTCACCGAAGGCACCAAAGTCATCAAGACACCTTTTGAGTCAGGATGTTTTTCAGAAATCTGTGTTCTGCCTTACTGTGTTATGTCCAACATGTTACTACATTTAAGTGTCTGAGCAATATGCTTTAATAACTCCTCTGCTGAACTGCTATCATGTCTGGACGCTAGTTCCTTCCGAGACAAAGGGACAGATCCTTGGCAAATGGAGCACTTAAGACGTCTTCCTTTTTCTTTGCTGCTGGAAATTGATCGGTGTTGCACACCAGCTCAATTCTTGATCAGTGCTACTTTGGAGCAGGCTGAGCTTTTTAATCTGAAATAATATGGTGTGTAATGCACCCTCTCTAGAGATACTCCAAATTAAAACAGCCAACCAGCTAGAAAATAGAAGTTGTGAAATGTGAATTGTGCAGTCATCAGATCCTCAGCAGCAACATTTTCTCTGTGTCTCCTTTTTAGCTGGTCCACACTAGTTGCTAATGTTGGTATAATTTTAACATTCAGCATGTAGTGTAATATTATTTTTTTTTTTTAGATACTGCCCAGGTACTAATGTTTCTGATGTAAAGACATGCAAAGACAGAAGGACTTAAAAACTCTGTTTGTTCTGTTTATTGGTAATGTTTAATTCCGATGCCAGTTGAAAATACCAGTAGATCCCTATTTGCTGGGAATTTCACTATGGCCTGTGTCTTAGCAGTTGGTAAGCTTCTGGATTAGTACATTCATACCTGAAAAGGTGTTGAACTCAGTGTCTTATTGAGTAAAATCATTATATCTGATATTTTTTGTTTAAAAACAAAGCAATCTAGCTTCCCTCTGCTACTCTCCCCAAAAAAGCAACTGAAAGGAGAAAAAAACCAAACACCCCCCACCCCAACAAAACCCAAATATTTCAGTTTCTGAATTTGACCTTCCATGTGTACAGATACTGTTCTGCAGTTCTTGTGGGCAGTCAGTGTTTTGAATACAAAAAATTTGGAAGTACACTGTTAAGTGATCCTAAGTCTGAACTGGAATGAAGAGAAAATACCATAATGTATTGTCTTCCACATGGAAGAGCTTTACCTGCAAATTAATTTATGTGTCTTCAGTTAATCACTACTTATGTTTAAATACTGACTGGTTTTTCCAAATAAATGTAGTTGGTGTAGGAATACTACTATGATATTTTTATTAACTTTAAGCTGTTTACTGAATTGTTAAGGATTTATAATTTACTAAGTTGTTGGGAGATTAGAACTTTACAATAGCTTGCTTTCATTCAGTGAGATATTGCTGGGAAATCTAAAAGCCTCAAAAGAAGCCTTTTAGAGCCTTTTTTTTTAGAGCCTCTTAAAAGGCCTCAAAAACCTGAAATTTCTTATTTTGTTTTTACTTGTTCCCTGCAAAGGTTGCATAAAGCAGTTTTAGTATCTGACAAGTTTTGAGTCCAGGACAGAATTTTCAGATGTGACTCCCACCAGCCCTCCAACTGTGCCAAAAGTAGTATGGATTGCTAGGCTCAGGGCTGGGATGGGTCAAGTGTGAATCTTGAGTAAAGTAATATTTTCAGTATTTCTGTGTTTCTGGCTCATGTTATCTTATTTTCACATTAGGCTTGAAAAGCTGCAATTGAGCCCTGTCACTTCTGTAACGTTTTTAGTTATTCCTCCTTTTTTGGAAATTTGGCATTTCTTCATGGGCTGCTTTCCAGAGAAAGCTTAAGGCATGGGGATGAGGGGTGAGACTCAAGAGAAAGAGAGGCTTACGGGAAGATTGGATTTAATTTTTCAGAAGGCTGAGGTTTCCAAATAGAAGTATGGAGCAGTAAACTATTGGAGTGTATAAATTACTGTAACTGATAACATGTGTGATGGAAAACTAATCAAATAGTGGACAACATTCCTCTTAAATTTATAAACAAACAGTAGTGATACATTTGCTGTCCTTTAACACCAGTTTAGACAAGAGTAAGCAGCAGGAAGGGGATGAACTTCTCTTGGGGGTGAACAGCAAAGGGACAAAAAGGTTTCCTTAAGGAAAATTCTGACAAATGGTATGGGGAGCAGAGAAGCATTTGCTGCCACAGGTTCCTCAGAGAGATGATGGAATCTACAGTCTAGGAGGGATTCAAA